CAAAGCGTCGACCTCGAGAGAGATTTCCACTTCGCCCCGGCTTCTCGAAAGCTCCAGGACGAAGCGAAGTACCTTTTGCGTGATTTCTCCCCTCTTGCAGTCTGGAGCTTGGTCGCGATCAAATCGATCAAAATTCGGCTTCTGCTGCATTCATCTTTTCAGCTCTTTGTGTGCGGAACTTGGAACGTAACAATACTTTATAAGTATATACTGTTTTTCTTACACAGGTAATAATATAAATAAGCGAATAAGAGTCAACAATGGAGTGTTTGTGGCGAGAAGTGTTTTATTAGAGACAAGCACAGAAAGGTAATTCCAGATTTGTAATCATAAGGTATTTCAGGCACTCACTATGTTAAGAATGACGGTTAGTAGCATTAAAACTTTATATTGTTGTTTCTTATTCAATCTCGGTGAAGATGATTACAATCTCGGCATAATATATGTGTCAGAATTATTATTAAAATTAAATTAAATTGTGAATCTCCTGAGAACTAAATGTATTCTAAATAGATTTTTCCTGTGTGTGTAATATTTTATTACATACTTGCTTTTAGACGATTAGGAGACGATTACAAAAATTAAATAAATTAAAATTTAATAATCATTTAATAATCATAAGTCGATATATAATAAGTTCTTCTTATTGTTCAACAGAGATTTATATAATTTATTACTTAACATATTATTACATATTTCAGAAAAGACATCGAAGATATAAGGCGATAAACAGATATGCAACTCTGCTTATATATACAGCAAGCATGTCCAATTTGAGCTCTGGAACTAAAACGCAAAGTCGACGCAAAAAGTTCAATGTGGATAAGATTTCGACTGTACAGTATTAATACACATCTGAGTGACATTTATCAACACTTTACAGACTCCGAAATCTTACCTATATTGAATCTCTTTGCATGGATAATTTTCCGTTTTGACTCTGAAGTTTAAATTAGACAGGCCTGATATATAGGTTTATGCCGAACGAATGAAAATGAAATGAGCGAAAAAAAATCAAAATTATACGATAATCAATACTGGAATTGACAACTTTTAATTTGAACCGTAATCAAAATTTATGCAAATTGAGATGTTGATGCTGATTTCTGGAATTATATGTTCTGCTGCTTGAAATGGATTGTCTGTAAGAAAATAATTGTTTAATATTTGTGCGTCCATTTTTGAGATTCTATTCCAGTTTTATCGTTTTAATGGCTATGTTCAACAAAGAAAGCAGCTTTGCAACTGTTGTAAAATTCTTCAATATGATTAGTTTATACATTTAGATCTGTAAGAAATCAAAAGCAAGAACTAATCATATTGAAGAATTTATTGAAGAACTTGTTGGGCCACTTCACAAGGGGATAAATCTTAAAAATTGAACATTCTATTAAATACTTCATCTGTTAAAAACAAAAAAATAAAAAAACATAAGATATTTGTCATATCATTTATTTCTTCCGCAAAACATTATTAAAATAGTGCAAAGAAGACGGAATCCTTTTGCAAATTATAGTGAAGCTACGCAGGCAGAATAGTGGGTTTATCTGAGTAAAGTTTATATTTAGGTCCATAAAGTGGCCCAACAATATTAAAACGATGAAACTGTGGAGAAGAAAATTTCGTGAACCAGATTCAAATAGACTAAGAGATCACCGGAAACAAAATAGAGGCCCAAAAAAAATGACCCTGAAATAGAACGCACAAATATTAAATGTTATTGCGGACAATATGCGTTTCAAGCAGCAGAACACGTGATTCCTGAAATCGGCATCGACATTTTAAAATGGACCATAATCCAAAGAATAAAGGCTACTGGATTGATTTCATGTCGTCCGACTAAAAAATATGTTCTCAATAAAAGAACGATTGACATTTGCCGATCAACATTTAAACAAGCCTTAGGAAGAGTGGAACAAGTGGATTTAATCGAATAAAAAGATAAGTTCCTCTTAGTCAAGATATCATTTATTAGATTGAACAGTAAAATAATTGTGAAAATATTCAAAATAGAAAATGTTTATATTTATGCTCTGATTGCTCGACTATATCAATATCAAACTCGCAAAAATAATTCATTTTTTAATACTATAGGTTTTTTCTTCTGCTGAGGACTGCAGATTACGTATTTGGGAGGCCTAAAGTCGCACAACTTCAGCCACAATATGTTGTACAAGGACACCACAGTGGTAGAATCTCGTGCAGCTTTTGGGGAAACATGAATGCTGCAGGAACTAGACCACGGCACGCATGAGAGCAGCAGAATACGTTAATATTTTGGACACTGTCATTCTCCCCAGTGCGCGAGCGAGATTTTCGGCAGATCAACATCATCAGACCATTACATTCGTGCAGAACAACAGTGCTGTTCACACTGCTCGAATAACACAAAATTGGTTTAATGATCATCCCGAGGTGGAAAAAATAGATTGGTCTCCCAAGTCTCCTGATTTAAATCCTCATCAAAAATTTGTGAGGAATTATAGTCAGGCAATGGAGATCCGGTTAGCATAGAACTCAGGATGCATTGAACCAGCACGTAAATAACGGAACAGGCTTCGCGACCAACCTGAAGTATGTATCTATCACTACCTATCACTAGAGTCCTATAGAGAGAAGCCCCACCATTGAATCCCCACCACTTTATCGAATCTCTACCATCACTCCCTATGTCGCCATATTCCGACTGCTCCAGTGTCGTAAATATAAACATACTCCAACCTCCAATTCTGTACTCCGACAACTTATTGTGAACAACAAAGATGTAGTGATTCTCTGTATCGTACCGTGTCATTTGTGTCGCTTGTTGAAAGGCACACTTTGTCTTTCATTAGAGTCCTATAATATATATCTTCCGCTGCAGTGAGATTAAATGGTGAAGATTTCACGCAAAGAAGTAAATAATAGTTGTTTTCCATTTATACCGATTCTGAAATAATTCTTACTTGATAAGATAGATAATTATATTCTAACATCATAGCTTAGTTGAATGTACGTTTCTTTTGCATTCTGACAAGTGAGATACGACTGAGTTTTTAACTATCTGCATAAGATCGAGATCGTGTGCTTTACTGTCTCACAAACTCACTTTAAAATAAAGTTATAAACCTGTATTTGAACACAATAATTGTTTTTTTATTTTGTTAGAAAATAAGCGTTTTCTAAATATGCAATGATAACTCTAATGATGACGAAAGGAAGGATTATATTGAGCAGGTTAGTTAGCCTCTGCGTGTACACTTACGAGACAGAGTGTCTGTTTTTACGTTCTTCCACTTTTTTCCTCCCTCTCCCTCCCTCCCTCTCCCTCTCTCTCTCTCTCTCTCTCCCTCTCTCCCTCTCTCTCTCTCTCTCTCTCTCTCTCTCTCTCTCTCTCACATTTCTTCTCATTCCAATCTTACCACTCAGACATTCAGAGTTTAAACATATTAAATAGAAATACTTTGTATCATGTATTAGGTACTAAACTTAGTTTTTACAGTTTTTTTGCTTAAAAAACTCATTTATCTCGATATCAAAAGCAAAAAATATATCAATCAAAGTATTTGCCCTCGCTAGCTATACATTTTCCTCATCTTTGTGGCAATAAGTGGATTCCGCGACGATAAAACAATTGGTCTTTTGAAGCAATCCATTCATCAATCTATTTTCGCATATCCTCATAATTTCTAAAGTGTGTATTCACCAAGTTGCATCGATCGGAACAAGTAATAGTCTGAAGAAGCTAAGTCTGGTGAATACGCTGGGTGTGGGAGAACTTCCCACTCGAGCTGCATCAGTGTTTCCTTGACAGCTTTTGCAACGTGTGATTGAGCATTATCATGCAAAAGCATAATTTTGCGTCGATTACTGGCTACTGCGGGCCTTTTTTCCAACAATGCTTCATTCAGACGGTTCAATTGTAATTGATATCGATCTTCCGTGATACTTTCGTTCGGTTTGAATAGCTCATAGTAAATGACGCCTCGCATATCCCATTAAATGCAGAGAATTGCTTTGTGGCCATGGATATTTCGCTTTGGTGTAGATATTGATGGCCAGAATCCATCCTGACTTTTCGTGTTTGGGATTATTAAAACTTTTCATCGCCAGTCACAATGCGCCACAAAAAACTTTTTTTTCTGTCTGGCGAGCAAAGAAATAGAGATATTTAAGCGATTCGCAATGGCATTTTCGGTTAATTCGTGTAGTACCCATTTTCCTTCTTTTTGAATCTTTCCCATTGCATATAGACGTTTGAAAACAGTCATCGGTGTAACATTTAATGCTGCAGACAATTCTTGGAGCGTTTGAGCTGAGTTTTCGTCGTCAATAATGCTTGTAATTCGGTATCTTCAAACTTTTTTGGTTGACCTGAGCGTTGTTTATCATTCACATCATAATCACCACCACTCTTAAATCGTTAAAACCACTTTTGGCATGTTCTTTCTGATGGAACACAATTACCAGTTAGGTGCGTTCGTACATTTATATAGACCGAATATTGCCGCGCCGATACACCCGCGAGCATTTACATGTACGCGAGTGACGTCACGAGACGGCGCAAGCGCAAACGGAAAGGAAACAGCTAGGTGGTGCGTGCTCGCCTCATGGTGGGGTCTTTTTCTGCTCGTCGCCAATCTTTTGGAACGAGAGCAAAATAAAGCATCAGTGAATTGAGTGTGAGTACTTGAATCTTTTATCGCGCACCCTTCCCGTACAAACCAAGATATAACAAACTGGCGACGAGGATGGGATTTGCAACGGTGGTTTTCTTTTTGCTAAAAGCGCGACCGCGTGTGTAAAAGTTTTTTCTCTCGCGGTTCTCGAACAGGAGTTGCACACGTGTTTTTCGGGATACCTTCCGCGACGAAACACTACTACGCGAATCGTTTTGAACAAGACCGTTTCAAAATTTACATTTGAAGTGACTTTTTCGATTTTTGTTCTGCAATTTTCATGGGTGTACACGCGTAATTTGCAAGTTACGAACTTTACACACACGCATATACAAATATTACATGTCGGGCAAGGATAAAGAGCCACGCGACGGAAAACCGAAAATTACAAATACAAGCGCATCTACAAGTACCGCGATAGTTGCAAAGTCGACAATGTCCAGTACCATACAAAATATCGTCGATCCATTCACGCCGGGAACCTCGAATTGGGAAAGATGGTTTACACGATTCGAAGGATGGTTACAAATACACAAAATCACGGAGGAACAAGAACGCGTTTTACACCTAACCCTTTTCTTAAGTGAGAAAGCTTACAACATTCTGTATGACAGTTTAGGCACAGAAAAACCTACGGATAAAACATTTGATGAACTGAAAGCTAAATGCAAAGAACTTTTTGCACCAACTGGATTAGAAATAGCGGAGACATACAAATTCTGCCATCGCAAGCAACTGCCTGGTGAAACAGTACAAGATTTTGCCAGTGCCCTAACGAAATTAAGTACAACTTGCAATTTCGGTACTTTTCAAAATACGATGTTGAGAAATCATTTAGTTTTCGGAATTTCAAGCCGCCGTACACAGAGCAGACTGCTCGAAACCAAGGAATTAACCTATGAAAAGGCATTGCAGATTGCACTTGCAATGGAACTTACAGAGAAGGAAACGAATACCCTCTGTAAAGATACAACACAGGACGTCCACTATCTACATGCAAATAAATTTCAAAAGAAGAAAGATACGGTGACGCCGAAAGGTTCCAAATCAAATACAAAAAAATTTCTCCAAAACTCTCCAAGTATCGCATGCTATCGATGCGGAAAGAGTGATCATAAAGCGGATAAATGCAAATTACCAAAGTATATACAATGCAATTTTTGCAAGAAAAAGGGGCATTTAGAAACGATCTGTTTGAAAAAGAAGCACAGTAATTGCAACGTATTACAGGAAAAGAACGATATTTTCGAAGCCAACTCACTTTTTAATCTGGAAATATTACAATGTGATTCACCCCTGCCAGAACAACGAGGTCTACGGGAGAAATTCCAATTCGACATTGAGGTCAACGGAAAAATGATCAACTTCGAGGTCGATTCCGGAGCTGCAGTCACCATCATGGAAATACACCATGCGAAAATGAGTTTCAAGAATCTGAAAGTGCATCCCGCTAAATTACAGTTAGTGACTTATTGTAATACGCCAATACAGGTAAACGGTTACGCTACAGTTTCTGTAAAATTCGAAAATGAAATGTACACATTGAATTTATACCTTACATCGATCAAACGTACACCATTGATGGGTCGAGAATGGATACGTATGTTCTTGACACGTCAAAACGCGAGTAATTTATTTACACAAAATACAGTTTCACAAATTCGCGACGAAATCGTAGTAAATATAGACAAAGATGTATTTATAAAAAATCTTTTCACGAAATACAGTAATTTGACAAACAAAAAGCTAGGTAAGGTTACAGGTATGAAAGGTTCACTTACATTGAAACCTAATGCTAAAAAAGTATTTTTAAAAGCTCGTCCTATGCCTTTTAAACTGATACCACGGGTAGATAAAGAAATAGAAAACCTTATAAATGAAGGAATCTTAGTAAAAGTCGAGACTTCAGAATTTGCAACTCCCGTTGTTCCAGTTTTGAAAGCAGATGACACTGTCCGTTTATGCGGAGATTACAGCGTTACAGTCAATCCGCAACTACAAATTACTGAGCATCCGTTACCTACAATTGATGAACTGGTTTCTGAAATGTCGAACTGCACGGTTTTCGGTAAAATTGATATAAAATGGGCATTCTTGCACCTTGAAATGGACGAAGAAAGCTCACAAATCCTGACGATAAATACACATAAAGGACTTTACAAAGTCATGCGGCTAATGTACGGAATCGCATCGGGACCTGCTCTATGGCAAATCACAATGGAGAAAATATTACACGGAATTAAAGGCGTTAAAGTCATGCTCGATGATATTGCCATAGCAGCGGGAAACGAATACGAATTTACAAAAATTCTTGAAAAAGTTTTCAAAAGATTAAACTACTATAACATTAAAATAAAAGAAATGTGTATTTTTCGCTAGTGAGATTACTTATTACATCATCGGCAAAAACGGATTGCAAAAAGACAGCTCGAAATTCGACGCAATTACAAAAATGCCACGACCCGATGGAACAATATCCCGATGGAACAGAGCGAGCAATACAATACATTTCTCAAACACTCAACAAAACGCAAATTAAGTACAGCATGATCGATAAAGAAGCTTACGCAATTGTTTTCGCTATAAAACGTTTGTACATATACTTATACGGAAATACTTTTAAATTAGTAACGGACCATCGTCCTCTTACAAAAATTTTTGCAAAGGACAAAGGTTTGCCATTATATAGCGCGATGCGCATGCAGCATTATGCAATATTCTTGCGTGGTTTCAATTTCACCATCGAGTATAGGAAATCGGAGCAAAACGCTAACGCAGATTGCCTTTCCCGTCTTCCAATTTCTGGAGAACCGGAAACCAATGACGTTGTCGATTTGTACTACGTAAACACGATAGGCTCTTTGCTCATTACGCCTACTAAATTACGGGCAGAATTTCAAAAAGATAAAGAATTACAAAAAGTCGCCAACGCGCTATGTAACGGCAAAACTCTTACACATGCTGATACTTGGGGCATTGACCCAATAGAATTTAGTCTAGAATGCGATATTCTTGTTCGAAATCACATGATTGTAATTCCGACCACATTACGTAAGGAAGTCCTGCAAGAACTACACTCGGGACATTTCGGTATGACCAAAATGAAAGGGTTAGCGCGAGAACACTGTTGGTGGTCCGGAATTACGCGCGACATCGAGACGGTCGTAAAAGACTGCGTCGAATGCAACACAGTCGCGAATGCGCCGAAAGTTGCAGAAAAACATGTGTGGGAAACACCCACTGCGCCTTTCGTGCGATGGCACATCGATTTTGCACATAAGGATAATACGACGTTTTTTATATGTGTCGACGCATTTACGAAATGGCCGGAAGTTTATATTGTTCCAAATATGCTTACAGAACCGACCATCGATATTTGTAAAGAAATCTTTTCGAGATTTGGGTTACCGAATGTTGTTGTAAGTGATAACGGTCCTACATTTACATCCCAGCTATTTCAACAATTCCTTCGGACTTACGGCATTACGCATAAAACCTCTGCTCCTTTTCACCCCGCGTCAAATGGGCAAGCAGAGAGGTACGTCCAAACCATTAAAAGAGCTTTACAGAAAATGCCAACTGGCAAGAATTTACATTCCAGTTTACAGACTATCCTTTTCCAGTACCGAACGATGCCTCATGCCGTAACAGGAATTCCACCTGCGGAGTTAGTTTTTAATAGAAAGATACGAGCAAACCTCGATGTAATGCGTCCAAACAAAAGCGAGGAACGCGACGACAAGGTTAATGTACATAAACAGTGTCGAGAATTCAAGGCGAACGATCGAGTAAAAGCGAGAAATTATACCGGCAAGGCAAAATGGATTTTTGGCACTATAGTACAGCGCATCGGAAAATTAAATTACTTAGTTCATTTAGATGACAATCGGATTTGGCGACGTCATGTCAATCAGTTACAATCCACGGGTGTACAAAATACTGTAGAGGATTGCGATTATCATGCTCCGCCGGACGAAACGGAGTCGTCAAGATCCGCGATCGAAGGCGATGTCACCTTGGGGCCCAGTACGTCAAACGCAGAATCGTCGCCAAGCCTCGGATCCGTACCCACGGATCGCACACTTAGACCTAGGAATAAACTCAAAGCACCTGAACGCCTGCAGTACCATCAAACCGGAAAATTGATTCCGATATAAATCAAAGGAGACAGCTTCTTTTATTTTTTTTCTTTTACAAAGGAAGGTGTTAGGTGCGTTCGTACATTTATATAGACCGAATATTGCCGCGCCGATACACCCGCGAGCATTTACATGTACGCGAGTGACGTTACGAGACGGCGCAAGCGCAAACGGAAAGAAAACAGCTAGGTGGTGCGTGCTCGCCTCATGGCGGGGTCTTTTTCTGCTCGTCGCCAATCTTTTGGAACGAGAGCAAAATAAAGCATCAGTGAATTGAGTGTGAGTACTTGAATCTTTTATCGCGCACCCTTCCCGTACAAACCAAGATATAACAATTACCATAAGCTTCGACAAGCAATTTATGAGCTGCAGCTGCAGTTTTTTTCAAATCAAAGTAATGTGAAGCAGCATATGTCGAAAAAATAACTTATCACGTTCCATATTTAATAACAAAAAAAAATGGCACTATTCGCTTAAATGAATCTTTTCGCACTGAATTTTATTGACAAATGTCTAATCTCTAAAATGCAGCCAGATTGCTGTTTCAGATGTCAAAGTACATTACACCTACAACTAGCATCATCTAAATGAGCCGCCGAAACTAAGTTTAGTATCTAATAATTAAAAAAAAAATATTTTTAAGCCTTTTTTTTACAGTGCATAATTGATGAAACATTACAAATTTCTACAAATCATAATAAATTAGTCATTGATCAACTAAAAGCTCAAAATAATGAAGCCTCACAAATAATTATTCATTTGGAACGTGACAATAATGTAAACCTGAATAAACTGATCATAATGCTTTCTACTATTGATCAAATAGAAACTAAAATATATTGTATGAAGCAACTATTCATGAAAGCTACGAATTCAAGAAAACGATGATGGAAAAAGTATTATGCCAGAGTATTATGACCAAAAAAAAATTAATTTTTAATAAAAATTCATATACTTTTATTATTAATATCTGATCATACTAATAAAAAATTGTATACAGCATTTTTTATATTCTTAAATTTCATAATATGTAGAATCAACATAATTATGTAGAATCATCACAATTATATAATAAGTTATAAAAAATAATAGAAATTAAAATAATAAGTAAGTATAAGTAATAATTTTGCTAGTTTCGGTTTTAATTTTTTTAATATCTCCTTCTTATAATAATTTTTTATTAATATCTTATTTTAACAAAAAAAATTTTAAATATATATTTTATTTCAACACATAACAGAAGTTTTAAATGTAAATAAACATTACATGAAATAAATTTAAATGTAAATAGATTCTCAAGAGAAAAATAAGAACTTAAATTTTTACAATTTTAGAAAGTTCTCAATTATTATAACTATTTAAAAAGGAGTATATATTGACCATGTTGCAGTAGCCATTTCATTTGCCAATTTTATAATATATCTGTATATCGTATGTTAATCCTAATAAACCTAATATTTTGAAATATATAATATACAATTTGGAATAACAAGAACAATAGAATATATAATTGAGATACAACAATTTTTTTTTAATGATTCATTATATGAATTAAACTAATTAAATAATAATGTAATGAAGCAATTTAAATTGATTATGTTTAATTGCAACATTCTTAAGTTTCATGATATCACATAATATGTAAAATCACAATTAAGAGTCAATTTGTATTACTATAAATCTACATATCTACTTTTGATATGAATCAAGCAGGGCATTAAAATGTCATAAGTTGATTACAAAGCCGTATTAGCATTTTAAGACTTTACTTAAGAGAGTTTTGCTGCGCAAATATAGTAGACTAATAAGCCTTAAGTCTTAAGGCATCAATCATAATCGATTATTCTCACATTTGACTGTAATTGATCAATTTCTTAAAACTTAACGCTTACTGCACCTATTATATTTGCGAGATTAAAATAGGACGAATTATGAATATTGGCTTTCATCTTTTGAAGATATTCAACAACCGTATGCATACCTATTGTTTCATTACTATGTGTGCGGCTATTTTCATTTTCTTTAGACAGTCTTTATGTTTAAGATCAGACATTTTATATTGCATACGGAAAAACCTGCTTAAAATCTTAATAGTAATATTGTGGCATTGTGATATGTTTGTTTACCTTCCCAAACATATAGCATTTTTTCAGCAATAAAGTTAATAATTTTAATATTTTCTACTTTTTCAAACAAATCTCTTAGTTTTCGAAATGTAATTTCAGCTTTTATAATAGCTTTAAAATAGGAATCTGATATCCTGCACAAACTATCATTTCTATGGCTTGGAAAATCCACAGCAATTGAAAATGGATGAGAATCTGTACCTTGCCACATAACGGATTTGTAACATATGTCACACACCTTCATTGTACTTTTGACGGAATGTATAACTGCTCCAATTATATATATAGGCCATTTCCATAATTTCCAATAACATTCATATGACTATCTTGTAATTCTGGAACATAAATGGCTGCATCTTCCATGAAAACATCTATTTCTTCTGCTTTTTGTCTAGCTGTCACTATTTCTTTTGATAATTTTAAGAAGTCTAACTTGACTTGCTCAAAATTTCCTTGTTCCACATTATTATTATAATTTGTAATTTTTGAACACAAGTAAATTTGAGTAATTGTAATAATTTTCAAATTTTGTTTAACATGAAGAGCGTTTGATTGCCTAAATCTTATGAGAGAAAACAAATTTTCAAGGCAGTCTTGTGTGAAACGATCTGTTAGTAAAAATTCGTATTTCTTTTTATTTAAAAAATATTGCTATAAGTTAATAATGCTTTCTGTTGCCATTATTACTCCTGTTTGTACTGACTTCCTGATATCCTTTTTTTCCTATTAACATGGAATGAAGTACTTGCTGCGTTTTCCTTATGTGAGCAATACCTTCATTATATGCTTTAATATTATGTTTGCTGAGAGCCAAGGTACGTGATCTATTTGTCATTAGGTTAAACCGACGATTAATGAAAAAAGTTGTAGTGTTAAATGAATCATTTATAAAATTACCATAAATTTTTAAGGCTATTTCTGTTCTTTTATTTAAAACTGCGGTAGACACATTCATTTTTTTATATTGATTTTCGCAGTATAAATTAGTGTCTTTGAGTTTAGAAGCTATTTTTATTTCATATTTGCTTTTATGCTGCAGTAATGTTTCAATATATTAAATGTCTACTAAAGGATTGGATAAATTTTCAGTGGCACAGATATCTGCAGATAAATACTTTTATTATTTTCCAACTTGGTTTTTATATTTTTAAACAGGTGGATCAGAAATAAAATATAATCTGTTCGTTGATCTTACAGGATGTATAATGCTTGCATTTTCTTTATTACATCCAATTCCGAATGCATTCCACATGGCTTTGTTGTCACTGTCCATATCACTGATCATTGCATTTATGTGCAGACCAATATTTTCTGCCTTTTCAATTAAAGAGAATAATTTTCTTTAGTCATTTCCTGTAGCATTTACATCTTTGCATTCGGAAATTGATATTGCCTTACCAGTAAAATAATATGCAACAGTGACTTTTCATCGGCAAGTAAAATTCCTCGGCCAATAAAAGAACTAAAATTTTTGTTGCAATTTTTGAGTGCGTTGGAAAAGTGCAAAATCCAATTAATCTTTGTACTGATGGATCAAATACTTTATCAGGTTTTATTGGCATTTTCTTGTTATGTGAGGTACTTCAGACTTTAGTATGTCGAATACTTTCAATAAAATTCCACTATTAAATTTTAAATGTTCCAACCGTCTCTGCAATGTCCGAATGCTAGGATAAATAGAAAGATGTTTAACAAAATCGATATAACCCTGTGTTCTCCATTTCATTTTAAAAACAAGAGTATCTTTTAAAGTAACTAAGCTCCACTTCAACCCATTATTTGACTTTCTATTTAAAGCCTCTATTTGATCTGGATGCAACTTCTTGTTAAGAATAGCATAAATCTTGTTTTTATTTTCTTTCAGGCATTTTTACTTGTTTGTAACGGGTTATATACATCTAGTATTAAAATACATTTTATAAATTTTCTTGATACTTTTTGTGATAATATCATGCTCCTTTTGAAAGATTGTAATTCTCTTCTATTTCTCAGCTACTTTTTTCTTAAATGTATCAATAATTACTGATACAAAATTATCAGTAGAAATAGAATTACTACATTCAAATATATTTGTTTGAGTACTAGCATTATTATATTCCAATGTATTCGTTTGAGTACTAACATTATTATATTCAAATATATTTGTTGGAATACTGACATTTTCTGTTAGACTAGACTGTATTATACTTTGATCATTTCTTAATGTATAAGCATTAACTGAACAAGATAAAAGCATAAATTCTGTTGATATAGATTCATTTGAAAAAGTATAATTAGGATGACTTGAAAAAAATATTATTAATTGATCCGAACTGTGAGCACGAATATACAAAACACATAAGTGAATTTTTATTATTTTCTTTACATGTAGGGTCTGTACTTTGAATGGTGACATTTTCTGTTAGACTAGACTATTAAACTTTTGTCATTTTCTAACGTTAAAAGTATTAACTGAACAGGATAAAAGTGATTGTGTATCTTTTGTTACATATACTCATTTAGAAAAGGGAAATTAGGATTACTTAAAGACGTATTATTAATTGTTTCGAACTGCGAGCGCAAATGTACAAACTTCATAAGTGAACTTTTAGGAACTTTGTTATATGCTATAATAGGGTCTATAATAGAATAATGTTGATGACAATATCTTTAAAACATACAAAACAGTTCGAAGAATTATTATGTGAAACAGTTGATTTCCTTACTTTTAAATAGTTAGTTACATCTGATAAACAAACTCTAGATTCAGAAGTTTGAACTTTTTCCTTTAAATGTTCCGCATTTTTAACATCTTTCAATAATTCTTCTTGTAGTTAGGCATTTCCAGTGTTTTCTAATGGATTTTGCAAAGAAGGTAAGCTGTACTTTTTAATACTTTTTGGCCATTCTGTC